AGAGAGAGAGAGAGAGAGAGAGAGAGAGAGAGAGAGAGAGACAGAAAGAGAAGCTAGCATTTGTAGAGAAGCAAAGTATAAGGACTAAGAAACAAGCTGATTACATCTGTTGAGCTTCTGGATCAAACTGGGCACTTTATTAAACCTACATACTCCCTTTGTATTTTTTACACTCTTTGGAATTGAATTTCTATCATTTGCGACTAGGAAAGTTCTAAAATAAATCCTCATCAACATTTCTTGTTTTGCTGCTCTATCATGTTGTTCCTCAGCTTTTCTTCTAGCTTCTTTTTTTTTAAGGGGGGGAGGGTGTACTTTAAAAGTCTCTTTTCCCACTATGCTATTTCTCAGATCCCTAGAAAATGAAAGCCACCAAGTTCAACATATTTAGACTTACCACAATTGTGCTGGCTCTGTTCTCCTAGATGCTGTCTTGGTATAACTTTCAGTCTTTATCCTCTTGCTTCCACTTTATCATTTAATTTTTTAAAATTTCATTTCACTGCTGTGTACTTGATTAAAAACACTACAGTTTTAATACTTCTCTTAAACAGGCAAGATAAGAGAACAGTAATTATAAGAGGCTGGGAAGGATAGGGAGTACAGACTTTAGGGAGGTTGGATAACTAGTACTTATTCCACTCTGAAAAGGTTCTGGTGTTAGGCAGTACAGTAAAATGACTACACTTCACAACAAACTATTCTATATTTTATGAAGAACTAGAAGAGAGAAGTTGGAAGGGTCCAAACATAAAGAAATGAAAAGGAAAGGGAAATATAGTTACCATGATTTGATCAGTACACATTGAATACCTCTTTTGAAATATCACAGTGTATTCTATAAATATGTATAATTATTTTGTGTTCATTAAAAAAATATCATTTTGGAAAACAGCAAAATAAAAATATCCTTTCCTCTACCAGTTGACATCCAACATAATGGAAGATTTTTTAAAATTGAAGAGACTATTCCAGTAAAAGACTCCCAAAAGAATAAAATACAGATAAGTAATTGCTCCATATCTGACAACACTAGCAGATTTAGCTATCATGCAAATAATTTCCAAAATTTATATTATATGATAAAATAAAAATTATTTAGACTAGAATAAGTCAATACATCTCTCCCAAACACCAACTACCAGAGGAAGCACTGAATGTTCCTTGAAGATCAGATTCCCCTTAGCACACTGGCTTTACGATTATTCCCATGTCTGTTCTATAAATAGCATGCTTGGAAATAGACCCACCTCATTACCAAGCAAGGGAAAGTCATTCAAACGGTTCTAGACCAACACTTTCTGCCTTGTTTTGCTACTAGGGGCTCCCATCATTTCATTACTTTACAGATTATGCAGGATGTATTTTTTTCTATACAAAGCTAGCTCTGTGCTAACTAAGATAAATGTGATTATTTTCCTGGGATCTTTATAACAATTCCATTTTTATGCTTTTTTAAAAAAAAAACACCTTCCATCAAGCTAGCTAGATGGAGCTAATAAAACTTTTTAATAAGTGACCATGTAATCTCAAATCGGAGGACAGTTTAATTTCTCCTCTAACACCTACTTGTTGTTTGAATTTTGACAAGTCATAAAGTTCTGAAGTGCCAGTCCCTCATCTGGTATATGAGATGAAATCAAGCCACAGAGTTGTGTGAATAAATTGCTCAATCCATGAAAATGTGCCTTGTAAGACAAAGTAAGTACAAATATCAGCTATGTATACAGATGACACTCACGTGGACATACATACATACATACATACATTATTATGGTTCAAAGGAATAATTTTGTTAAAGATTGAATTTCAACTGAATATAAACTATGTTCAATCTTAATCAAAAGTTTTTGGATTAACTTGTCCAGTAGTAGAATGCAACAGGAGACACTGAATGGCTTTAGACAGGGCAAAGGCCATCTACAGGCATACCACCTAAAAGGGGCCTGACCTCATCTAGAAAGGGCAGAGGCAGAACTGAAGAACTATACTACATTTGCATCCAGTATAATAAGAAAGAAAAGTAAGGTATCTTCCCACACAAAATGAATGAGCTGAACACACGAATGGCTGTGACATACCAGCCCTAACTCTTGCTCCAAATCACTGTATTGTCCTAAAAATCTATAATTAACTTTCTAAGTTATCAGAAAGAAGGAAGCAATATCAGTTGAGCAATTTTCTTTTTAGGCTATTATTTTATTGCTTTATGATGCATCGTAATTTGTCATTTTCCATCAAGGACAGAGCCACCATCTCCTTGAAAATCCCATGTTTATAGAAATCGGAGCCCACTTTGCATTCAATTAGAAATAGCTCTCCAACAGTGACAAGACACGTTCACATTTCACCACCAATAAAGATTTGAAATTGAAATGCCATTTTTCCAGCTGGGAATCATTTAGCAGAGGTCCCCATAGCTTCTTCTCCCCTTAAGGCAGGTATGTCAGCTACAGCTGGAGGTGGAATGTGAGAACTACAGTTCTAAATGTCCAAATGACCCACCAGAACTGGTCCGATCTAATCAATACGTATCACTATGCTATTCCCCAGTGTAAATGCTGAATCTCATTATGACCAAAATGTTGCTGCCGACAAAAGACAAAATTCCCTTTAGCTAGCTGTTTGAGGTGCCAAATCTAAAACTCAATTGTTCATTTCATTCAGAGTTTTCAAAGCTGAGTCCTGGATACATTCCTTTTAAAAAAACAGCCTTTGCCGAGAATATGTAATATTTTGAAAAGACATAGTGATTTCCTGGCAAAAAACTTTCAACATCATCATTTTGGCTGAAAATCATGAATTCATCTCCTTCTCTAACAATAAGGATGTCTTACAACTTTGTTCAAATAAGACATATGGACTCCTTGATTTTCACCTTTCTTTAGAGTCATACCCCTTTTCACATTCTAGTTCTCTTCCATGTATGAAATAACCACCTTTTAGCAAACCTATGCTAAATCATTTGCGTTCATTTTCTCACATTGAGCTATCCAATACATGTGTAAAACAAGCAAGATGCAGACATACAAACTGAGTCATCTAAGGCAATTCATTTACCTTAATCTGCCTACTACACATATATTACAGACTACTTTCCACTCCATTCAATAGACTCTCATTCCCTTAAATATCAAAGGCTTTTGCTTTGAGATAACAAAACCTTATACATCACAGTGTATTGGCAGGGGTTTCAATCCTGTTTAGGTGACTTTGGATAATATACATCAATTTCACATCTATAAAGTGGAGTAAGGTTTTATGAGAACCATGTATCATCATTCACATAAAACATCTAGCACCTGACCTGGCACCCAGTGAGCCTGCAACAACTTTGCCATTGTTGCTACTTAATACTATTTGCCAGAAATGGATCTTTATTTTCTTTCCTATTACTGTTCATTAGACTTTACATTTTAAATTTCTCCAGTTATGGATTAAATTGAAATGAATGGAGCTTAACTCAGTAAAGTAGTTTGTGGAACAACTGTATTTTTTTGAGGCATTTAACAGAAGTGCCTGCAAAACGGGTCACCAGCAGCTGGCACTTCTGAGAGAAGTCATTAAGGTTTGTTCTAAACAATCCATTTACTTTTTTGCTGATTCTCTGAAAGAAGGAACAAGATAGTCCTATTGACTGTTTTGTTCACCATCTTCTAAAATCTGTTACTTATGTGTAATAGGACACTGACTTCACTAATTATTCACAACTGTTTTAGTCGTAAAAGAAAGCAGATATCTGCAAAAAAGAAAATAGATAAATTAAAGAAAATATGGATGCTTATTCGAATAATCATTATAAGGAAATTTTTTTAAAGCATAACAACTCTAAAAAGAGTGAATGCACAACGCAAGTTCTCAATTTCAGAAAGGGAGTAGTAAAATATCCCCATAAAGGGAAAAGACAGTAACTTTAATATTTCAGCAATATTTACACAATGCTAGGAAAAATAAAGAGGGGGAAAACTGATAAGGTGTTATAAATACAAAATAAATCCCTTAAAAACCTTCTGTCATGAAAGATGTGATTATTGTTATAGTGATTTAAAAACGCATGTCTAGAGGGTTGGGGATGCAGCTCAGTGATTGAGTACATGGCTAGCATGCACAAAGGCCCCAGTTCAATCCCTGGTATTGCCGAAAAAATTCTATCTGTATATTTCTAGCTAGTATTTAAAGGCATGAGAAAAATGCTTTTGCTGTATTAAGTTGGCAGGAGGATGACAGATAAGTAGAAAGACAGGATGAAAAACACTGACCAGAAGAAAATATACTAAAATGTTACAGTATTATTATTTCAGATGAGTTGGTGGGTGTTTGTAACTTTCTTCTTTTTGTTTTTTTCTAATACAACATGAGTTATAGGAAAAGAGAAGTTTGGGGCTAGAGTGGTCAAAGAAGGTTTGTGGGGCAGACAGGATACAGGAGGCAGACACAGACTTGGTATTCCAGGCAGGGTTCTGAGCAGGAGTAAGAACAGAAACTGACTCAAGGAAATCCTTTAAAAATATGTCCAGTAGTGAGACACCCTCAAAAACCAGTCCTGCCTGTCAGGACATGTTTCCTTAGAATGTTGTCCATTGAAAGGAAACAAGGCTGCCTCTCCTTTTTTATACTGGCCCCAAAAGCACATGGAACTGTTATGTCACATGAAATGTTTGTTGAATCCACAGTACTTCAGAAAGGCCTTTCAGAATTTACTTTAAAACACCCCAAGGGCAACAGTTCAAAGAATATAGCCCACACAAGCATGACTCCATTATAAAGCATAGCTCACTTTTCAAATACAGGAATTTACTAGTGTTTCCTTTCTGACTGAAATAAAAGGGAAAGACACCTGTACTTCTCAGGGCTGAATTTTTTCTGACCCCTGTGCACTTTTCCAATGCGTCTGACTTCTTTATATATTTTGCATTTTTTTTAGTCCAACTTATTGTTACTGCTGATTCTTCAAGGTTCACCTTCAGCCTGCACCAAGTGGAGGTATTTCTCTCTGATGACTCTTGTTCTGCAACAGAGTTCTGTGTGAGATTGCCCGGAGCTGTGTGCCTCCCAACAGCACACTGTGTTTTATCCAAGCCTGGATCCAGAGTCCTGCACTCTTGGTTTACATTTTCAAATTTTGGATCATATGTTCATGAGACTTAAAAAAAATGCCTTCACTAATTAATTCAACACTATTTACAGAGGACCTACCAGGAACAGGGAGTGATACACAAAAATGACACTGAGAAATACTTTAAACTAAAGGCACACAAAGCCTTCTGTCTTAGTCCTAAGCCATTACCAATACCAGGAAGTAACTCTACAAAGAATTAGAGAACAGAGTTGGATTTTGAAATCATTTCTCTGTCAATAGTACCTGCAGAGTAGAAATGGAAACTGAGCAATTCATTTCAGTTCCCTAAAAAGCTCTGGAAAGCCAAAAGAAGTATTTCTTCCATTGCAAACCTGCTCACATAGGCTTAAGGATAGCATCTATCACACAATTAATGATAGCATAAGGGTTCCAATTACAAGAGTTTCAATAACTTTATTCAATGAATCATGTAGGAAAGAAATTATTCTCAGACAAAATGCCAAAAAGAAAAAACTGCTATTTTCTACATATAACAAATACTGTTTTTTTAAAAGCTCAAATGATTCCTTAATGTTAGTTATATAAAATTCATATAATCATAGTAATCTTTTTATAAGTAGAATTAAATAACAAATATTCTAAATTTGCCCGCAGGGATTATCATTTTGGAGTATGTAATGAGGGTCCTTGGAACACAGAAGGAACCAATTTAGCTCTTGCAAGCATTTCATTTCCTGTTTGATCTTCCACAATTATCGCCATCAATTCTGCTAAGTGATGCTTTCTGCAGTTAGAACACTAAACCTCATGATATCACAGATTTTTGTTTTGTTTTGTTTTGGGTGCTGGGATCAAACCCAGGTCTTCACACATGCTAACCACACAATCTACCACTGAGCTACATCCCCAGCCAATAAAAGATATTTTTATAACAGATTGTTAACAGTTCTTGTTCCACCAATTTAGAGGGCTGGTTTTATGATCAAACTTCATGTATTCAAACTGATGGATATAACAAGTTACCAAAAGTATAGACACTGGGTTTCCTACCATGATGATACCAAAAAGAAATTGTTACTCAAATACATCCTCCAGGTTGAAGTAGGATAACTAGGAACATGTATTTATTGAAGTGCTTATCAAACTAGACGGATGCTCTAAATAAAGAACTAAAATAAGGAAAGGAAGACAACAGTTCTAAGTTTTATTGTCAATGTCTACTAAACTCCCTTGTTTTATATCAAAATTTAATAGTATGCTCTCAATTTATAAGTATCAAAAGCTATTTCTCCTAGTCCTTGCTAATTTCCTAAGTTCCCCTGACATAGCACAAAGCACCAATCAATCTAGCAGTTGTAGACATCCATAAGCACAGAGCACATTTCACATTAAACAGAGGAAAACTAATCTGAGATCCTGCCTAGGGACTTCCTTTCAAACATTTTCATAATTAGTCACTTGCTATCAAATTTGAATTAAGGGCATCTATATATAGTTTCCGCATCCCATCACAGCCAACTTTATATGAAAACTGAGTCACTTCAGAATAGCGGCCCCACACATCTGGGTATTATGCCTCAGGCAGATGCTGAAGGCATCAGGACAAGTGGAAAAAAACACACCTCAAACTAGGCCTCCAATGTGATGCAATTATTTTTCTCAACACTCAAAAGCACTAGATTGTCCTACAACTAACATACATGGTGTCATTTAATATTCTTATATATTTTTGGCAGGGAGAAGGAAACTAGTTGATCTGAAGCATAGTAGGAGGCAATTTCTACTCCGCACAGCAGATGTTGTCATGCTCACAAGCTCAATTCACTGCTCCTTGAAAGGGCAGAGGATGGATGTGTGAACATACTCACTGGAAGAAGATATTATATTGGATTAGAAACTAGTGAACAGAAACATTGAAGTATACTTACATGAAGAAGTATTTGCTCCTTCTGTTGATACTGAGATTCTAATGGGAGACTCTATAAAACATAAAAGTGGAATGAAGCTTTATTGAGTCATGCTTGGACTCTTAAATTAAAAATTTGCCAGGCTTGGATATCATCAAGAAAAAGTGCTAGAATGCAGTGCAGCAGAAAAGCTGAAGCATTTCTAAGTTAAAGGAAGGACATGTGCAATATGAAGAGACTACAAAAGAATGTTCTTTAAATTTAAAGACTTTTAAAAGTGAAGAAAATGGAGGGAGTCCATCTGCAAGGATATCCCACACACCAACTACCAAATGAGCTTCAGAGAAATATTATTCTGAACAAATCCACACTAGGGGTAAAATAGATAATTCCTTCTCTTAGGTGTGGGCTTGACTTTTAGAAACATGAAACCAAAGAGAAAAAAATCCCACACACAGATAAAATAGTCAACTTCCCTGCATACAAGAAAAAAAAAAAAAGAGTGAAAGTATTGCCAGATAATTTGGGTCTGCATAAACATCCTGACCAATCACAGAGCTGAATAAAGTCCATGCAAAGCCAACTATAGCAATTACATTAGGATCAAACGAAACATGCTAAATAAAACAGTAGTTGGGGATGTGTAAGAGCAAGATTCTCTTAGGTAGCACTGACAAAAGAAGAAAAGCCAGTAATTAAGCATAGATGGAGCATAAAACATAAGGCATGCAGGAAAAAATAAAAGCATGGGTGCAAGGGTTTTCATTGGTAAGAAATTAGAAAAAGTTAGTATAAAAGAAGGATTGAAATTCGATATTCAGAAAGTTATTTTCAAGTTACATATCAGGAAATAACAAAGTCAATCTAAATTCTCAAGAGAAGCAGATAAATTTAAAAGCTCAGGTTCCTGACAGCATCTAATAGAGTCAGACAATGAAGCCCTTACATTTCAGAAATGTCTGAATGAAAGGTGAAGAAATTCAGATATAGTTTAATTGTCCTTTTTATCTCCTTCCTCCCTTCCTTTCTTTTTTCCTTCTTTCTCCCAGAAAAGCATTCCCTTAGACTGCAGAATCATCCTACCCCACAACACACACATATACCCTTCCATCTTAGTAATGAATAAGCCCTAAATATGGTGAAAACTGTTTAGGACACAAAGATATCTAGCTTTTGTGATTTTGAACAATGACTTTGGAGGGAAGAGGAAACACTTATGGAGGTAAGATAGAAGAAGACTGCTGGATGATATGGCTACTCGAACAAGGTTCAGGCCATAATGAAAAAAATCAGCAAAGCCAAGACATTAAATAGGGACCAATGGAAAGAATACTGAGCTTGAAATACCTTTCCTTCTACTTCCTGAGATATATGACTTAACATTTCTAATGCCTCCTTCTTCTCATCTATAAAATGAGAAGAAACAAAACCTTATTTTATGATTTTTGTGATTATTAAATAGGCTATGAAAATCTTTGTAAACTGTTGTCAGTGTATCTTAGAAATGAGTTCTGAACCTCAGCTCTCTAAAAATTTACTTCCAAGTAAAGATGATTTTAAATTTTTCTAAGGCTCTATTAAGTATAGAGAATAAGAAAACAGTTTTAAAAATTAAATAGCTGAGCCTGGTGTTATAGACTTGTAATCCCAGCACTGGGAAGGCTGAGGCAGGAGGATCTCAAGTTGTAGACCAGTCAGAGTGACACAGTGAGACCTTATCTCAAAAAAAAAAAAAAAAATCAAATATATAGTGGACCGAATAAATTCACAGCCAGAAGACAAATGAGTTAATGATGGCTAGATTCTAAGTGGCTAAATGTCTGCCTAGAATACAACTGCTACCAGTAAATATCATAGGTAAATAAAAAGTGAATAGAAATCAACAAACCAAAGAGGGGGTTAAAAAAAAAAAAGAAAATTATAGCAACATCCCAAAAACTTGAACTGTAAGGTTTTTGCTCCATTTGTTTTTATTTAGGAACTACCACTAGCCATTAAAATCCCTTTAGACACTGACATGTCATCTAGTAAGATATTCTTACTCCAATGGTTGAAAGTGCACAGGCAATGAAGAGAAGCACAGATACAGTATAAAAAACTGAACTCGAAACCCTGAGGTCTTCTTTATGTCAGTCAGCAGCATTTAGATACAGATTTCTTTCTCTTATGCATGTTTCTCAGGCCTCCTTTCAAGAACCATCCTCTCTTAAGTAAAATTCAAAAAGGCAAAAGGAGGCTGAGAAAAAATACTGAGGCAGAAAACAGGAACAACTGCAGTTTGGATGCAGAGGGGTTCTGATTAGTAGAAGGAGCAGTCAGCAGTTATGTCTGTCATTCTGGTTAGTCAAACTTGCCAGGCTTATTTTCCTTACCTGAAGACACATATGCTCTTTCAGTTGAGGCTGGCATGCCAGTGATGGTTTCTGCAAAAAAGAAAAGGTGATAGGATATTATGATGTATTACCAGGAGGCTGGGAGCCAGACCTCAGCCTGCCTTCAAACTGCAAATAAGCTCAAGGAAGGAAGTATTGGGACAGAGTGGTGAAAATCCACGCCGTGGCCATGCAGAGTGAGAAATGCAGAAAAGACAGTCTGAATAAACAGTTCTTCTTTCTAGGGAGAAGAACATGAAATGAACTGTGCTAGTCCAATTAAGAAGAATCTGTTGCTCCCACTGGGGCCAATGAGGAAGAATCTATGGTAAAGAGACAGTGAGTTCCTCAGAAAGGAAAGTAAATGTAGGAAATTAAGAAAGTCAAAGTTATTGGTTCACAACGCTGTAGGCAGAATTTTCAAGCTCATCTTTAGAAAATTACATTTTTGTTCAAAAACAAAAGCAAGAAACTTTCCAGCTGAGATTGGTGAGAAATATCAAGTTCTAGCTTCTTAAAATTTTCAGTGGTAATCAAGATAGATGCTTTATCAACTAACCAGGGTGGGGCAAAGAGTAAGCAGTGAGCTCCTGCCCCAAAGAAATAAAGGATAAACCTGTACCTTGGGGACTTCCATTGTCATCATGACAATTCTGACAGTTTCATTAGGACTTTGAACTTGCTTTCTTACCACCTTTATGACGGGATAAAGGATGGCTACATTGTCCAACTAATTCTGTATTTGGTCCTAAAAAGGACTTCAGTTTGTAAGAATTTAATATTGTCAGTGAAGCAAAACTGATGAAGCCTGGAAAGAGATGCCACGATGGATATCACTCCATGATTGTGTGAGAAGTCAAAGAACGTGCTAGTACCTCACACTCCCTAACCAAGGCAAAAAGATCAACTCAATTTATTGTGATACTATCTACCATACAAAAATTACTGAAAATTCTGCAATCAGTTTATGTCTGAATTAACAGCCTGTTAATTATGGAGTTAGACACATTCACTGACGACGCAATCATCTTTAAATATAAATATGACTATTTAGGGTTTTCACAATTGAACTAGTCTCTTTGGAAAGAACCAATGTAAGCAATGGCAATAATTCTCTGAAGTTTCTCTAGGGGAAAAAAAAGAGGTTTTGTTGAACTGAAAAGAGAGAAAAATTCTTGTGAGATTTATCAGGGATGTCCAAGTATCATACTACATTATGAATATTTAGAGATCTACCTTTAGTAAGACCCAATGGTGTCTTTCTGGTGCAAATTTAGTGTGGCCATTCCTCTCTCATAAAGAATTAGGAGGCCAAACCATTCAAAGAGTAAGGTTGTTATCAAGATATCAGAGTTGCCTACACCAGCTCTTAAACCCACTAAAACGGAACAATGTGAAAGGAACTGTCAATGAGGGTGTATGACACCCTTGGGACTTTAGCAAGCAGTAAGCAGAGGCCACTCGTTACTGGTAAATGAACATGATTGTTTCTGAAGCAGCTACAAGTAGTTTCCTTGATTTGGGCTGTAGAAAATTAAGTTGTTCTTCTTTGGGAAAATGCAGTCTGTACAAAAATTCTTTATCCAAGGGTTTGTGCTTCTCTAGAAATCCCTAGAAGAAGCTCCAGGCTTCCAAACCAAGCACCCACAATTGACAAAGATGCCTCCTTCATTCTGTCCTTCAGAGTGCATCAATGACATGATGACCAGACTGATGTAGAGAGCTCAAGATGCCTAACAAGGGTTGGGCAAAAGTCCCAAACCCAACGAGGATATCAAGACTCTCTTCATATTTATTTTTGACAAACCATATAATTGTCCACTCTGACCTTCCAAAAAAAAAAAAAAATCAGAGCTTTTCTATCTCTGGCAAAAAGGAAACCCGATTAAAAGAATGGTTAACCATAACATTTCCTTTTTTAATTGAATGCTGCATTAAAAAAAAAAAAACAGAACAGGAGTGCTGTGTCTACACAGAGACAACTTTTAAAAACCTCCCTTCCTAAATTAGGTATCTACCGTGAAGACCTTAAAAATACCTTTAACGATTATGGTTTGAAATAAAAACTTCCTGAATTAATATTGGGGGAAATGCAAGCTCTGAAGTTAACAGATACATCTACACAAAAAAGTCTTCATTTAAAAAAAAACACTTTGCTGATAAGAAAGGTTAATCTTTTTTTATCAAAACCATTGAGCGAGCATGTTCTGTATACTATGAACTCAGTTCATAGATGAAAGGAAACCCAACCTTTTATTGTGTGTGTGACCGAAAATAACTTTGCACCACACTAGACTTCTAAAAAATTATTACGTCCTGCAATCTCCTTGATATTCATTTAAGCAACATACTTTCCTATAATTTGGTGTGATAAATTTGTTAATTTATAATAAAAACACCCCTTCATTAGTGTAAATTAGTGAGGACTCAGGACCATCAAAGTAATTGAACACTGCTGAGAAACTTACGCTGGGTAGGCAAGAGGTCACAAGGAAGGCTAGAACATTTGTAATGTTTAAATAATTTTAATAAATTAATCTAGTCTCAAAAAAAAGTTGCAATGTGTGAAAAATATCTTCTGGAAAGAGACGTAGTATCAAGAAAAAGTTGTGATGTATGAAAAATATCTTCTGGAAAGAAATTTTTCTTATTATGAATGTGTGACTTGTTAAGAGCTTTTTAACCATGAGCATAATATAACAAATATAGACATTTAGCAAAATATACATAGAACTATACATACTTATCTAAATAGGTAAACATCCATGTATGATTCTTTTTTGCTAAAACTTATAGGTCACTATTGTGCATACATAAAATTAATAGTGAAGTTTTTAAAAAAGATTTTAAAAGCGGGCATATTTATCAGCCTGGGTAAAGATGATGTCAGGAAGAGCTCTGAATTCTTCTTCTGAATGTTTGCTATAAACAACTGAGAAATTTTTAAATTAATAAACAGTGTAAAGACTCTATTCACTGTCCACCTTGTTCTGTCCATATTGCTCTTGTCTGTGAGCTGTGAAGGGGCATTCTACATAATGTAACATATGCTGAGAGTGATATAAAAAGTATAAAACCTATTTTACATGTTTCTCAACGTAACCACATAGTTTAACAACCTCATGACATTTCCAACAATGACGTCAATTTGAGGATACAGCTGATACTGCTACCCACGTGATTTTTAAAAGTCACCAATTGGTCATTTGGTCAAATTTCATAAAACTAATACTCTTCTGCCCTTCTCAAATGAAACAGCTATAGGCCCATTTGTTCTTATGGGATCTTGAGTCTTATTCAAATAATTTTTCTTATTAAAAATGAAGACTTAGGAGAAGATATGATTGATTAGTTGTATATTCTCCTGTATTAATCTTTGAAAAGAAAGCACTACTTAATTAATTTGAAACCCAGTTAGGTCTATTATTCTTTCTTCTATTCTAATGCCCATGAGTTTTCAAAGAACTTATTAGCTAAGAATTAATTGCTAAATTAATGCTTCCTACAGAAAGATGAAGCCAAATAAACTACAGCTAAAAATGAACATATAGCATACATGGCCTTTTAAATTGCCAATTATGAATTCGTGTAAAGAATTCTGCTTTTAATAGTCACAGAATGACTATTGCCTATGACATCCTTCTTTACATGAAAACTCAACATGAGATTTACATAGTCTTAGAAGTAATTAGATTACATAATATATATATATATATATATATATATATATATCAATGAAACAGCTATAGGCCCATTTGTTCTATCGGATCTTGAGGTCTTATTCAAATATTTTTCTTATTAAAATGAAGACTTAGAGAAGATATGATTGATTAGTTGTATATTCTCCTGTATTAATCTTTGAAAGAAAGCACTACTAATTAATTTGAAACCCAGTTAGGTCTATTATTCTTTCTTCTATTCTAATGCCCATGAGTTTTCAAAGAACTTATTAGCTAAGAATTAATTGCTAAATTAATGCTTCCTACAGAAAGATGAAGCCAAATAAACTACAGCTAAAAATGAACATATAGCATACATGGCCTTTTAAATTGCCAATTATGAATTCGTGTAAAGAATTCTGCTTTTAATAGTCACAGAATGACTATTGCCTATGACATCCTTCTTTACATGAAAACTCAACATGAGATTTACATAGTCTTAGAAGTAATTAGATTACATATATATATATATATATATATATATATATATATATATGCATGTATGTATATGACTCTTTTTTCCAATTCCAAATAGGGCTTCAAAGGCATTGAAAAAAGACAGAAAACTTATCAGTTCCTAAAATGTAACTTAACAAAATGGTTAGCTAGGTGTACATTCTTTTCTAAATGCTTGAAAATAAAGTATTCTAATCAAACACATAACAATTCACAAGGGACTTCTTGAATTTTCCTTTTATCATTTCATTTATATCAAGTTGCTAATCTAGGTAGATCTAAACAATAAGTTTCATTGGAGAAGACATTTATGATCTACCCTAATATAACTCTAATGATTTTATGGTCATCTTAATGGGATTAAATAGTGCCAAACAACAAGGTCACCTGGGGAGAAAGAAAAGAACTTCCCAGGATTGTCTCTTCCCCCTATTTTTCTTAGAAAAATGTGTTCAAATGTATTTTAAACGTTTAAAAAAGGTACTTGAGTGAAACTTTAAGTAAATCACAAGGAATCCTTTGCACATAAATGAATTAGGATAATTAGATTGCAACAACATACCAGGATCATCAAGGAAAGCTACAGAGAAACTGTCAAATCATAGCCATGTACTTTTGGGCTTGGGGGGGAAATATGAGATAGATGAGTGAGAGAACACAGAATAAACATAATGACTTAAATTTTGTAGAAAATAATGAATTAAAATCTCAAAATATTTTGAAAACATGTGTTATTTTAAAGAATTTTCTTTTTCTAGAGCCTCAAGGAAACAAGAAATTCTTTAGAATTCCACTGTCTATCAGCCTGTCAATAGTATAATACAGGTTTAGGAAGAAATGATTTGGCTATACGGCACTTTATAGCCATGGTAGAAAGTGCCCGTCTTCTCTCGGTAAGTATATTTGCTCTAATTTTGTCAAGATTCCAAGGGAAACAGGGATGTGCCAACAGAAAGGTAGTGCTTTTGAACCCTGAACAGCCCAGGACCCAACTGGGGTGTCAACCAAATACAGTAAGTCAATAATCTGAGGTGGAGGAGGGTGAGAGAGCAGGATGATTACATTTGGTTTTCAGTTGCACTACAGCAAGTCCTAGTGATTGATTCTTGCTATAGGGACTGTGATTGAGGGACCAAGGACATAATCATACAATAGGAGTTAAAGCTTAAAACAAAAAATAAAAGAGAGAGAGCCCTAGAGAAGAATATTCCCAACAGGATCATAAACAGGGCAAAGTTTGGAATTACAAAGAAGCATAGTTAAAAGAAGTAAAAGCAAGAAAATGTAGGAAATAGTTAAAAAAAAAGTGTCTGAGATACTTTAAAGGAGGAGAAATTTAGAGAGAAAAGCCACAAGACCCCATTGCTTAAATTCTTAGAGATGCCTTGGGTAAAATCCCATCTCCTTGAGAATTATTATAATGCTCTAATTTTTTTCCTATGGAATCTCCCTGTCCTTATGACTTATCATTCATCAGCTCTGTTCGTCAAAGAATCTACCTTTAGTATTTGCACGTGCACACACGTACATTCAGAAAGACTGAACTGCAGTATACTAGTAAAGAAACTTGGGCTCATGTCTCACTTTGCTACTAAATATGTTTGTGATCCTAATGGAGTCTGTTTTCTATTCTAAGTATCTCATTTATTTTTAAATACAACTGGTTAATGATGATATATTCCTAACATCTCAAGGATCACATGAGAGAATTTTAGTTGTTTCCCTGAGAATGATTTACTTACAATATTCCATGAATTTCTCTTTATTCTTGCCAGGTTAGAAAAAAAAAATCTCATTATCAACAGCACCTCAACTTTCCCAACACCATATTTAAATTTGTGCACTAAACCAAGACTTGAATGAATTAATATGGAAAAAATGAACTGAATTTCTCACCTATGTGAGAAATGTGAAAAGGCACATTATGAAGCTTTCAGTGTCCTAAATTGATAATTTTAAAAAAGGAGCCCTCTAGGTTTTTGCCATGAATAACAGAGTGGTAAACAGTTCAGTGCTTAATCCTGTAAACCAGAAACCATGGAATATTCCATATAATATTCCTGTAAACACTCAGTGAGACTACAACACTATAGTTTTTCCTGGGATGTTGTAGTATACAATGTTACACAAATCTAATCCAGGTGCCAAAATTCAAAACCATTTACCATAATGAGATACACCACGAGTTTTTCACAAGCTAGTGACAAACTGAGGAGAAAATGTTTCAAAACATGGCATAAATGAAAGAATAATCCACTGAAATTAATTTTTTAATTTGTGTTTCTGGTAGTATCCAGTAAAATTCCATGCAGTGGGAAGTAATACTAGCAAAATAGTATTGCTTAACTTGTGCCGACTAAAAAGTAGAGTGATATATTTGCTCATACAAATTTTAAATGGCTTTTACATTTTAATTATCATAGGCACAACTCCTATAAATAGTAATGGAAACTACTTTTCACCGTTCTCCTTTACTCTCTATGGAAGGAGATATTTAAAATGAAAGTAATGAACTTTGATTACACTGCTATAGAGCAGATTGTTGGGAAATCCAGAGAGGAATAACCATTAACCTAGATTTTCCCAACACTGTTCCATATTTTCATCTCACTCTCTCTTCCTATACTACTATGTCACAGACATTAGTCTCCTATAGTATTAACTCTTAAAGGTACTTACTCTTCCCATGCTGACTTGGCAATTTTAGTTTATTCTTCAAAGAAACTATATCCTTGCAATGAACACTCTTTCTTATCTTTTACCAAGAAGCAATGCAATTAGGCTTGTTTTTATAAAAGTTAACAGATCTTGTAAGGACAACTGTTAAGTGCCATAATTCAAAAATCATGGTTTTTGAAATAGCATTTGATTATTCCAAGAAATTGAAACAAGCATTACTAGGTATACACATTATCAGTTGACTCCATCAGATTGTGGATTGCTGGGCTATTATGAAACAGAGTCACCAGCTACATTCTTTTACTTTCCTAAGATAACTCAAGAGAAGTTTCAGAGGTAAGTGGTCCTTTCTATTGCTAAGATATTATTTCTTTAAAAAATATTCTCTGGCACTGCTCTGTGGAAGGTTTAATCAGAAATCTATGCATAGAAGGAAATTACTGCCTGTAAGATTTTCCTCATTTCAAAATTAATAGGTTTAAAAAATTAATAGATCTAATTTTCAACTAGCTAGATCCAAATATAACCACTTAAAAACACATATACGAGCTTAAAATTAACAGAACTATATTCTGTACATATATACACACACACAATATAGATATATTCATACACATATGTCTACATATATAATATACACAATCTTTCTGTATGTGTTTATTTTATAAATGCATGACTGTATTCTGTGGTTGACAAAGCCAAAGACTTGACTGCCCTCCCTAACCAACTTAAAGAAGGCATTATAACCTCATTCTCTTAGCAACCCATCCTGTCTTTGACATTTATGACCTCATTAAATCCTCTATATATGTGTATATATATATATGTATATTCTATATCATCTCATGGAGTGAAGAGTTTTATGGTGGACATACAAAGTGAGATTTGGTTTTCTTTCTACTTATTTTATTTGTTCACAATAAGATTTAACCCCAGTAAGTCTTACCATATATCTTGATTACTCTTCTTAAAGATTGGGAAATAGAAGTCAACGGGTATCTCTTACCATTTGAGTCAACAATGGTGATATTGGCAGAGGTACTGTCATTTCCTATTTTGCTGATCACTTTGCACATATATTCTCCAGAATCAGCCAGTGATGCTTTGTTAATGCGAAGTTCTGACTTCCTATAAGATCAGGACCAAAGTGGTGTAAGTATATATCACAGAAATCCAATGAATAGTAAAATTAATTTTTCTGAGGTTTCAGATTTCCCAAACTCCCCCTCCCCTCTCTACATATAACATGTTAAAATATAAATTACTATTTCATCAATTTGATTGTATGAGTTACCCAGAGTAAAACTGGGTGCATCACATTTAAGTTATCTCCCAGATCAGTAAAGGAGGCCTTCTCTAATTTTTCTTTTTACTCCTTTACCACCACTACCACCACCACTAACTACATAGTGCCTTAGATTTTTAAGCCCAGGTGGTAAATTTGCTTTCCTCCCTACATCTAAATGTCACCAGCCACTAGGGTTTGGAGAAGAGAAAAAAGTTTAAAATCATTTCTTATAAATCTGGTGAGAACAAAAACTTTATGAAGACTAAAGTAGATTAAAAAGCTCTGCATTTCTCTTCCCAGCAGAATAACTTCATGAGTAATGTTAATTTTGAATGAAGAGGGTTTATCATTTCCAAAAGAAAGGGAATTTGTCTGTAAGATTCTCATTTCTGAGAGCATAGTACCACATGAATGGTTCTTAATACTGAAATAAGCATTCATATAAAATAGCACACACTTCTATGATACTCTGAACATTAAATCAATAGTCACCATTTTTAAAACATGGAAACATTGTGAGGTGCATCTGTCTGGTTTACCACTGCATATAGCTCATAATTCAAGCTGCCTTCAGGATATAAAAACTAGGAACTCCTAGAATTGGCTCAGAGTTTACAAAGGCCCTTTGAAGGCATCATTCTATACTTGCCTGATAATTGTGACTCCCTGGGCTGCTGATAGAATGACAACAAGGAGAAAAGAAAGCAGGAAGAAAAGAAAGCAATGTTTATGGTTGTTTTTATACTTTGCTAGTTTTTTAGAAATTTTTTCTGATCTTCATGTCACACAATATTATTATTCAGGTAAGATCAATGATTCTAAATTTAATTTTTCCTCTCCTCCTTTAAATCTACTAAATTCAATCACCCAGAGTTCTACATGTAAGTCTTACTGTCTTCTATATTTATTAATTTCTTCCCCCTAGAATGGGAATCCTGCATTTCTACAACAATAATCTTGCTGGTTTTCAAAGACCATTTCCAGTGCTGGTTCCTTCATCAATTCTTTCATGATCCCATAGCTGGAGCTGCTCTTTCCTTGTGTAGATTCTGACAGCCTGGAGTCTTTCTCTGTCATGATCCCCTTCTCATTAGTGTTCTCTCAGAATGTCTTATCTCTACACCTTGCACATATACTTCAGAGGGGGGGTTCATAATTTAAACTTGTTGATATCCTAACAGAGAATATATCACTGCTTTGTCCTTGGTGTGTTCTCAAACATCATTGGATGATTTTGTGAATGGATGGAAGAAATGTTTGGCTATCACCACTTATGTACTCAGCAGGAACTAGAATTCCTAATGTACACGGCAGAAAGGCAGATGCAATATGAAAAGGACACAGATGGTTTTAGGTGGTCCAGACCAAGGGCAGCAGTGGTTGGGTCAACATGTTGATTGGGAAATTACCTTCACTAGTCATGACTCACAATAAAGTAAACTGGTGAAGGAAATAAATAAACCACCACAAAGGACTCTATACTCAAAAAAGCTTAGAAAATATTGTTAAAGAAAAATTGGCTTTTTGGTTGTTTTAAACCTACAGGGTTTCTCAGAACCTTTAATATGCTACAGTACTCTGACTCTCCAATAATGGGATATATAATTTAGTTTCTCTCAACTTAACATGGAATCCTTTCCATTCACACCATATACTTGTTAATATTTTCAGAAAATAATGGCCCACAGAACAAACTTAGCAAAAAGTATATCTAATGTAGCAACAGCCTTGTTTATCTATATAATAAAATAAGCAAAGACTATGTAAGAAATATTCATTCATTAATAAGACAGATGATTCATAGAAAAGATTCCTAAAGTATATCCCAATAAGGCTAAATAGGACATTTTAATGGCAAGCATCTTGGGAACTAGATATTAAGTGTTAACAATAATGTGACAACACCTTAAGTTATCAAAATACAACAATATTAGGATATCATGCTATGAGGTCCTATTAATTCTTAAGCCTGGATTTACAGTATTCAAATACATTGTTTCCTAATGGATTATCAGATTTTTATATACTTTGTCCATATGTGACAAGTTTCCCTCATGATATACATCCTTGACAAAAAGTGGGAAACAAAGAGATAAATACTATGGTAAGATTTTCAATCCCAAAGTATAGCATAGGTTGCTGAAAGAGTGTTCATGTATGATCATGAAAACAATAATGACAGAACAATAAATCATGAAGAATATTAGGGCAGGAAATCTGATCTTCAACATCAGAGAAAGAGTAATTCCTAAAAGAAAACAGCAGCATTTCTTGTCAACGTCCCAAATTCTCAGATAAGATTATTACAGCAACATCGCAAGGATGTACAATGACCAAGAATATCCTTTCCTTCTTTTTATATAAATCTAGAAATGATCCGATGTTTGTATGTAAAGACCTCATTCTTGACCTTGTGCAATTTAATATTTTAACTATTGAACTGGATTGAACTATAAGAAACATGGTAATCAAATTTACAGTTAACATAATCTTTAAAAGACAGTTCTAAAATCAAAATTCTCCTAATAGGCCTGGACCATGCTTCCTGGAATTCCAAGTAATGTAATAAAACATTATGGTTTAAAAAGAAAGAGAAAGAAAAAAATGTTCTATGCTCAAATATTGTATTTAACAAAGTTAAAAAGGTTTCTTTACAACAGTAATTCTAGTTGTATTATGCAAGTCTGTAAGGTGAATTTCTAAGTCAGGCATTACATGTAGCTCTGGAATCATTTCTACAGAGAATATCCTTGGCAATCAGGGCAGAACACCAACAGCAAAGACCAAGAGTCAATTTAATTAAGACAAGTGTAACAGGTACATTCAGGTTCAAAATTCAGTACTAGAAATATAAGAGGGGAGAGGGATGTATCAGCTATAATATATATAGGAAAAAGATCTCCAGTAGTGATATGTTTAATACTAGCCATTTAAAAATTATTTTTAAAAAATGAAAGGAGAGGGTAAATGAATGGAATAAAGAAGAGTGAACATGTTCAATGCATTTTCTACATATGTATGAATATGAAACACTGAAACCTGTCAAAGTCATTTTAAGAAGAGAGGAAAGAGAGAGAATAATGGAAGGGACAAACAAAACGGGTAAATTATATGCATATAGATAGGGACATGTCACAAGGAAACCCTCTGCATAACTAATACATATTCATAAAAACATTTTAAAAAATTGAAACTGGTAAAAAAAAATGAAAGGGGGGGCAGGCATAGTGGAACACATCTATAATCCCAGCCAAAGGAAGGAGTATTATAATTATGGCCTGAGACTGACCCAAGCAAAAGGCCCTACTTGAAAAACAAACTAAAAGTGTAAGGGCTAGGGGCAAGCCTCAAATGGTAGACTGCTTGGCCTAGCAAGTGCAAGGCCTGAGTTGAATCCCCAGTACCACAAAAATAAAAATAACAAGTTGAATAAAAGTCCCAATACATTGAACACTGAACTATTTATTTAGACTGACATTTGGTGAGAAATGTCATTCAGTAACTAGAGGCCTTTAGAAGAGGCTGCTCAGAATTGAATAGGGCCAAGAAATCTTAGTAAGAGAGGATTCTGTTAAAGAAACACAGGTCCCACTGGCAAGCAACTATGAATGAAGTATGGGCAGCAATTTAAATATATTTCATGACTGTCTTCTGGAAAAGAAAATTACTTGAGATTGCTAACTCTAATACAAAAAAACTGTCTTACAAGAAAAAGAACTAATGTAGAACAAAGCCTTTCAGGAGAAAAAAAAGGCAGGTTTTAGGTGTTATTGTAAGGAAGAACTTGAGCATTCAGAAGTGGACAGAAAGCTATGTGAGTTAGATTTTCTCATTGGAAAGACTCAAAGCTGGACAGCCACCTGCCAAGCATAATCTTAGAACAGCTCTGTGCAGAGAAAAGTTAAATTAGATTGGTGGCTCCCACTATTTTTGCAAAAAACAAAAACCAAACAAAAAAACCTATTTTACAATGAAAGCTTAAGTCAATGCCTCATATTGAAAAATATCACAGAGAACATGTTCAGGTCAAAGTAGTTGGCACTTTGTCCTTTGTGCAATTCAGTAGAAATTTAGGATTCTTCATGGACACAATTGGAAAATCGATGATCTAGATAAGCACTGAGGCCCCTCTGAACTGCAAGAATAAATTGAACCATAAGATTCTTCAATGCTGCCACCTCAAGTAGGGACAGAATGTAGTAAATAAGCAGAAGTAGCAAAACTTTTCTTGAAAATTACATATTGCAACAAGATCTGAGCTTTCATAAGTACAGCTATAACAGTCTCATTTTTCTCTCTCCAAAAGGCTAACATACACTATCTATAGGCAATTAGTTTAGAAAAATATTGAATTCCCTTATAGTCACAAAGTTAACATTTTTCTCTTTCATGTTTTCTGGGGATCTGGGAAGGGTTGGTGTGTCAATAGATTTTCATTTTCTAAGTGTACTAAATGAATTAATTCATATACAGTGTTCAAAAGAATGCTTGTAGTTCACAGCAGATGTTAATAATTATTGAATCTGGTGGTTGTTACAAGAGGGCTCCTTAGTCTGTCCTCCATTTTGGAGAATATTGGAAATTTTTTATAATAGTCAACTGTGATTAAATAATAAAAACAGAAAAGAATCATCTGCATGCTTACAAAAGCTCGAAGTTGTATAGCTATATAGATTAGACAATAAGTCAAGAAAATAGGTCAAATAATGCTTGCAGTATTTTAAGCTCCCAATAAGTATTAGCTATCATTATAATTACATTCTGCAGTCCTGAAAGACTTGAATTTTTATAAGCATGCATTACTTTTGGAACAAATAAAACGATTTGCAACTAAAAATTCTAAATATTTTTTCTATCAAAAAGCAAACTATGTTTTTTAGAAAGAGGTCACTTGACAAGATTTTTTATTTTGGGCAGTACTAAGGTTTGAACTCAGGGTCCTGTACTTCCTAGGAAAGCCTGTCACCACATGAGCTACACCTCCAATCCTTACTAAGATTATTTAAGTTTCCAATAGCTATTTTCTAGTTTTCTTACTTAGCTAGATTCTGCCACCATTACAGACAGTCTAAGGAAACCTAAAGAGTCATATGGACTATGCTTGGGTGTGTGTTCAACACTGCTTCATTGTCACTCTACTAATTGTGAGGAGGGCACACAGGGGAAGGGGGACTTTATAGGCACCAGAAATAAGTACTGTACCGAATACCTCAATAAACCATACAAAATGGTACTGAGTACCTAAGGAAATTGAGATTTCTTTACATCTAGAGTTCAAGTGGCCTTCCAGAAAGCTTAGCTGATAAAAAAGGCACCAGTGGCTCACACCTATATTTCCAGCTACTTGAGAGACTGAGATTGGAAGATGGTGGTTCCAGGTCAGCCCAGGCAAAAAAGTTCTTGAGATCCCATCTTAGCCAATAGCTGGGCATGGTGGCACACACCTATCAGATAGCCACAGCAGGAAGCCCCTAAAATAGGAGAATCGTGGTCCAGGCTGGCCTGGGCAAAAAGCAACACCCTATCTTCAAGACAACCAGAGCAAAAAGAGCTGGAGGTAGAAGTGCCCACATACCAAGCACAAAGAAACTAAAGAAAGAGAACGTGTATAAGTCTTTTCTATTCTAGAGCCTCCCTCCAAAAGAATGCAATCACAGACAAAGTGGAAACTCTTAGTTTCTAAACAAATGTGAACAATCAATTATAGCCACTTTTAAACAAAATTAAAATATGTAAGCGCTGAATTGAAAGAGCTGAGACAAAGTTAAGGACATTTAAAAGTGTATGAAACACACAATCAGAAGTCCACCTTTCATAAGGCTAATATAGAACAGATATTTAAAATGAAGTCAACCTGGCAGCCCAAAGCTCTCCAACAAATTTTCTTGATCAAAATCATCCACTAGACAATGAAAACAAGAATAAAAGGAGACACAAAAAACAGGAGTGGTTTCCATTTCTTTTAATTGGTCCCACACGTTGCTGAGCCAAATAAAACAAACAAAGGCTCAAATGTAAATTTATAAGCATAAGAACATGCAGGAATGTAGTTTATTAGTAGAAGCAGGAGTAAAAGAGGGATGAGATTTTACACAATAGTAGAAATTGCATATTGGTGTGAAATCTCTTCCCAATACTAAAAGATTAAAGGGAAATTTTGGCTGCTATGTACAATCTAGACCATAAAACAGGAAAATGCCTAAACTAAAGATTGAAAAAGAGTAAACATTCTGTTTAAATAAAGAGAATCCCAGGGAAATCCTAAACCTCAAACTAAAATTCAACACTGATTGGTTGATCACAGCCTAAGACAAACTTCAAATCAAGTAACTATACCACTGCAATACACCGATATTCTGAATACTTAGTAACAAAAAGATATTAGCATATATGTGAATTTGAAAAATAAGAATTTCTTGGTTCTTATCTTCTTATTTACTTGTCTTTGGGAGCTACTGGGGCTTGAACTCAAGGCCTTGTGCTTGCTAAGCAGGTGCTCTATCACTTGAGCCACGCCTCCATCCTCTTTGCTTTAGTCTTATGTTTGGGCCTGGAGCAATCACAAACCATGCCCCTTGCATAGTTGGGATGACAAGGGTGAATCACCACCATAACTAGCTTGTTTGTGAGACAGGTTCTAGTATTTCTCAGGCTGACCTTAAACCTCAATTCTCATATCTCTGCCTCTCAAGTAGCTGGCATTACAGGTATGAGCTACCCAACTAGCCAAGAATGGTTCTTATTAAAAGGCTCAGCAGGCCCCAATCCTTTTATATACTTTATATATGAAAATCACAAGCAGTTATGAAATAATATGAGCCTTAGGGTCAGACCCATTTCAAATTTAAGTTTAACTATTCATTACCATTATTATCTACAGAAAGAAACTTAACTTCTTTCATTTTGGAAGATACTGTTTTTAAATTTGGCATAATAATTCATTCTACTTATATTTATAGTATAAATTAAAATAACAGAGCACCTTGCAAGTGTTAATTAAATTTAGATTCACTTGAATCCATTAGCCTTAAAAAATTCTGACATCGGTGTATTTTTTTTAAAAAAATGACAACTTCTGAAATGAAAGAATTTCCAGTTCTGAAAACTGATAAGTTGATCATTTAGCAAGCAGTTACCTACTCTACACAAAGTATGTCCTATTTTTACATCAAATATGTTAAATGTTTTGCCAATAATAATTTACAATCACATAACTTGAATAAATTTCTCCCTATTTAATTCTTTCCAGCAATGCTCTTGTTTTGAAAGAAGCAATTCTTAATATTGCCTTTCTAGAACTTAATGGGATTTTATTAATATGTAGATGGTGCTCTTAGCTGTCTGGACCTATGCTGCCAATATGAAAATGCTCTTCTGAATACTAATGATAATTTTATATGTCATCCAAGCCATGTAACAAACTACCTCTTTAAGCATACATGTATCCTTTCAAAATCACATTCACGTTAGTTGGTTCACTTCTTCTTCATTCCTTTTGCACCAAATTTACCCAATATTATTTGCTTCTCTCCATGTTATCTGGCTGAATATGTGCCATCTTCTGAAGCTGTCTGCTACTCCTTCAGCCTAATCAGATCACCCTTTTCCCTGCCTTCCTCCTCCCCAGCTGTGTGCTTTGGCACACGGTCTGGAATTTCTGTGTTTTATATAGGACTGAACTAGATAATCTCTTTCCAATCTTGTGATTGCCTAGCACAGCGATAATGCCCTATGCCTCCTGCACTTCTCCACATTCCTGGTATGAAGCCTTTATGAGCACTTAGATATTACTCAGATCATTTTACAAGTCACGGAGCAGTAAATGAGATATTACCCTGCATGTGTACAGAAGTTAGTTTCTTACTAATTTGTTGAGTTGATGAAAAACAAAACACAAAAATCTATACAATCTTACAATCAGTAAATATTTTTTGTGTTACCATTCTCCAAAGAATCATAGTCATCTTTGCAATTTACTCACTGCATCTCTTCCTTCCCATACGCACATGAATGGTCTCCTTTTTCTTTTAGCGATACTGGGGATTGGACCCAGGGCCTCATTCTTGCTAGGTAAATGCTTTGCATTTGTTTTTTTGTATTTTGTTTTTGGGAAATAGTCTGACTAACGTTCTGGCTGGCCTGGATCTCACTATCCTTCTGCCTCTGCCTCTGTAGCTGGAATTACAGATGTATGCCATGCTCAGCTAATGGTCTCCATTTTTAAAGAAGAAACTCAGCATTAAGGAATCCAAGAAATATATCTGTGTTCTGGTTGAGCTTTTTGCTAGGTATGTGACTCCAGGTAAAACATAACACTTTTTTAGCTCTCAATTTTCTAATCTGAAAGATTAGGGACTCGTCATATGTTAACTGTTCAAATGCCCTTACTGCATATTGGAATGTAGTTTCTAGAAAAAGAAGATTATGTATTAAAGCACTATGTCTTTTTATAGTATAATATTTTGTATCTTTGAAGTACCACCTGCTGCGGAAAGTGATACGTACTCTTTCTCTCACTCTTTATCTCACTTCCAAATCAACAGCTCTTGCTGACATGACCAATAACAACAGCTAGCAGTGTAGTTAATTAAACCATGGGAACTAGGAAAAGACCCTAATTATAGTTATCAGAGCAATTAAACACTTTGATAAGATTCAATTAAATTCTCATTATAATCACTTTGTTCTCACTTGCTCATGAATGCATGACAACTTTTTGGTAGATATCCTATAAAATCAAAGTATGAGAGGGATATCTCTGCTATTGCTTCTGTTATCAAATCTGGAACCTTCTGAGGTATGAGTGAAAAAAAGCTCTGAGTTTGAACCACTAATGTGTCACTGATTAAAGGACTGTCGAGAAGCAACATTCTGACATATTGATCTCTTCCTTAATTTCAAAATATATTTTGGTAATAAGAAAAACAATCCTTAAATTAGGAAATAAGAAAAAAGGAAGAACGTAAGGATAATAAATGAGTATCAACTAAATGACATATAACAAAGGGCAGAACAGGTTCTGCCTGGAAGTGAGAGGGGAGGGGAGAAGAGGGCAAGGGAGGAGGCAGGGGGGAGAAATGAGCCAAACAATATATGCACATGAGAATAACTGAATAATTTTTTTTAAAAAAAGGAGATATAACACATCTACTGAGTTGTCATGAGAATCACATGCAACCCTTCCAAACATGGACATTTTGTTAAGGAGACAGGAAAACGTAAGATTCTTGCTCCCTGAGATTACCTGATTTTTAAAATCTGCTGTAATGGTGACTTAGTTTAACAGAATTGTTGGGTAAAAAATTGTCATTAGCTATAATTGTATTTTTTGACCCCTTGCTTGAAAATGTTCCAAATTCAACTGATTACATATTCCAGTGCTTTCTACAAATCTAGGCATTTATTTATAATGAAGTTGAGATTTGAATTGTGTAAGTCACCAGTCTCTAAACAGCATTGTCTTATCTGAATTTCAGAATCTATGATTATTACAGCAGCCACCACTAACTCTATCTTCTTTCTTGCCTTCCATCTCCCCTACTTCCTGCAGTAGTCCTTTCTCCATCCATCCTTTCCTTTCTTCATCCAAAAATCATAAGAATCAGAAACTCCAAATTCTTTCCTATGTGATATCACAATTTCTGGTCACTATATAATGAAAAATCTTTTATTTATTATATATCATGTTTTTTATAGTAAAGTCATTCATTAGGATACAAATAATTTTTATGTTTTATATCATCCTATTGCTATCGGGGTAGATTGTTGTAATGTGAGTTACACTTACCCTGGCTTTTTTTGTATCTTGATGTTCTGGGGTTTGTTTTTTCGGTTTAACTCATTCCCATTCTTGAACCATTTGAATTTGAGGGAGGAGTATTCAGAACTGGTTTCACATCGAAGCACCAGTTTGGAGCCTGCAACTGACTCCTGGCTTTTCATCTCTTTCAATCGGGGAGGCAAGGCTAAAAAAGAGCAGAGAAGGAAAAAAGTTCTTATTAACAGGTAGTCTTGCAAAGAGAAACATTAATTTTGAGTGAGCCCAATCAAGGTACCAGTCTGAATGTTTTGCTAACCAAGAGAAAAATAGTCTATGTTGGCAATAATGGCGCCGATAGGTTTCGGTTCTTACTGCACCCTTAAGCTTCTGTTTTCCAGGGTCATGGTCCTGCCTCCCAGGTCACAGTCCTGCCTCAAGTCTAACTTGAATCCTCCTTCTGCCCCAACCTCCAATCAGCATGAACCATAAGATCCTAACCAATCAGATCATGCTGAGTCCCACTGAGGGATATTTAAGCCCCTGCCCCTCTCTCCCTCTCTCTCTTGGCTCTCTTGGCTCTCTTGGCTCTCTCCCTCTCCCACCTGGCAATAAATAATCTCTTGGCCAGATCACTCCTCTCCACATGGTCATTTTTGGGGTCTACATTTCCTTACAGTCTAAAATGGGTGAGCCAAAATGGATTCCAACTTTGAGAAAAACAAAATTCCCAAATAAAATGTACTCAGAAAAAGAGAGAAGCTAAATTTATTCCTAAAAACAATCCTAGAGAGTTACTTCCTAAATCTTTATATTTTCTGATACCATTATGAATCCTAAGCATTGTTAATTTCAAAGAAGAAAGTCTATCCCAACAGGGAGCATGAAACTGGGCATTGCTTTCAAGTCACACTTTATCACATGTCAAATCATAGTTTTCACCGTTTTGTAAATAGCTACAAGAAGCATCATACCTACTTTTTTGCCTGGAAATTTAAGTTTCAGAGTTAACTATAAGTGACTGACTTATCCATGGTTACAAAGCTTGTGGATACCTGGAGTTAGGATTCATTTCACTAATTAAGCATCAGAGACTGGGGGGAAAAAACACATAAGTAACATTGTTTCTTTCTTCAAGACAGAAATTCTTTGTCAATATCATTCTTTTATTGGACCTACAGATCTATCCAGAAACAATTCCAGATGACCAGCAATTACCTCGTGGTCACTTTGACTGGATTTACCATTTCCAAATCTCAACAGAAATTGTAAGCACCTAAACTGTGCATTAATTTGTAGAATAATTTATATTAAATGTCTATATACCATTCTTATTTACATAAGACTATTTAAAAGAATATCTGTTATTTACAGATTTACTGGAATATTTTTGGGTAAAGTGTTGTAATAGTTGAGGTTTGTTTCAAAATAATATGGTGAAAGGGTATGAATAGGCATCAAGATGAAACAGAATTACCAAGACATGGACGATTGCGGAAGTTAAGCAATAAGTACATTTTGTGGTTTGTTATATAATTTTTACATAGTATATCTGATCTTTTCATAATAAATAAATTTTTAAAAAGAAAAGCATGGATGAATGGATTTTTCCATACACACACAATTTCACTTAATAATCAACATCACAGAACCTGAGATCTCAACATCTCTGAGTTTCTGCTGAGTCTTAGAAAAAGTCAACTATAAAGTCTACTTCTGCCTCAGTTCAGGAATTAACAGGAAATCCCAGAAAACAAACTGAGGAAAATGAGACTGATTCAGTGCATAATTGCTAACTGGGTAAGGACCAAGAGTTCAAGGACAGCAATCAAAGTCACCTTAGACTTGAACAGGAAATGGAATACTTTGCCTCCTTAGTTTATTTGTTTTTCTCCAACACTGCCCTTGCCAGGCAAACCCCAAAAATGTCAGGAATGAGCATATGAATTACAGCATAAACCATTCAAATGCTGAGATTTCTTAGCAGTACTCCTATACTGGCACAATCCTCATTTATTTGGGGGATGAGAGACAAGGTGGAGAAGCAGGCACTTAATGTGGAGGCTTGTTTTAAAGATGTGGTTCGTGAGACTCTGTTTTGGGTTTTTTTTTTATATATATATATAAAAGCTTACATTCTAATTTATCTGGAATAGTATCTATGTATTTCTACAAGCTCTTTAAGATTACTTTTAATTTTGTGAGTCTGGTAAAAGGTTTAGATGGAACAAATATGCAGGAGCTGAATGGCACCAAAGAAGTGGCTTGCACATATTAAGAAAAATTATTTTCCTCATTTTATGTATGGATTAAAAGAACTAGCTTGTGATATGCCACTGGGCTTTCCATGAACTTGAAACACAACCAAAATTTTCAAGGTTTAATCCTTTGCCTCTCATCAAAATGCCCTAAATCCAGTATTTCAGATGTCCCTAAATCTCAGTAAGTGGCAATTGTCCTCATTCACCATTCCATACATTGGCCTATTGATATCTGAATGGCAGTGTGCACATAAATCTACTAGACTGCATTCTCTAGCTTGTATAAACATTTTATCATGAAACCAGTGTACATCTCTCTTCCCCCTTTTTCCTTTCCTCTTTCTTCACTCTTTCCCTCTTTCTCTTACGATCCTTCCTCATTCTCTCCTATTTATTCCTTATTTTGTATTAACAATTTTGATTTCAAACATGAGGAAACTATCAGAAAAAATTCAGGGATGATCTACAAAACTGATCTAAGTTTTTAAAATGTCAGTGTCGTGAATGACAAGAGACAACTATGAAACTTACCTAAGTTAAAAGAAATTACACAGACATGACAAATAAATGCAGTGTGCAGCTATTGGTTGGATCCTGCTTCAGGGAAAATAACAGCTATTAAATACATTATTGTGACTGTTGGGGAAATCTGAATTAAAATAAGCTATTGAAGCTCAATTACTTGAGTGGGATTGGTGCATGGCGGTTATGCAGAAGACTTTCTTGTTCTCAGGAGGTTTCTGCTGATGTGCTTAGGGGTGAATGTCATGACGTCTTCAACTACAGATGATTTACAAACAGGAAATGTGTGCAAACATGTACATGCAAACACACACAGAGAAAGAGGGTAAAAGGAAACTTCATTTCGCTTCATTTTCCCACCCTTCTCATCTGGTCTTTCTGCCATTAAATAACAGGCACAGGCTTTCAAGTACTTTTTTCCTTTTTTTAATCATTTGGGGATTGAAACCAAGACCTCACACAAGTACTCTAAAACTGAGCTACACCCCATCGCTCATGAAATAGTTTTTTTTTTTTTTTCCTTCTCTTTTGAGAATGGGTCTCACTATGTAGCCCAGGCTGGCCTGAAACTCCCTCTCAGTTGCTAAGACTACAGGTGTAGTTTTAAAGTTTTGATTAAGTTTGCTATCATGCAGGAAATTCTTGCAAATATTTGAGTTATTGTTTATAACTAGATTCAATCAATTGACTAATATTTTAAGCCACATAAAGCCATTGAAGCTATTTAATTCTGTGAGTAGTACAGCACTGAAATCCTCATGCGGTTAGTTCATAACCATGACTTGAGAGCTCTAATCTCACCAGGTTCTTTGGAAGGATGAAACCAATCTCTCATCTGGCAGGTCAATATCTATCCTGCCCTTTTCTTGCTCTGTTCATATATGAAGATTTCTCCCAAAGAGTACACCCCTTCCCTGAAGAGATGACCTGCAATTTAATGAGGCGGAGGCCTTCAAATATAAGATCTTGTTTAAAATATCTCTACTCCTTAAGCTGACCCAGATGTATAAACATTTCTTGATGCTTGGGGTCTGGGTATACCTCCAAGGACTAGAAGGAATTGCTCTCTCTTCCAAATCCAGAAAAGGAAAGCTCCCAGTTCTTTTGACTCTGCACCCCTCACAGTCTACTTGTACTGATGTTTCTCTGTGTCCGCTATAACATGTGTAACCTCTTTGGTATGAGGATCTCCAGCCTGCCAGGGATCAGCTCTTTTAAGGGGTTAGCTCAAAAGTCTCCATAACATAAATGGAGAAACAAACCCATACATAGCCAGTGGAGCCACACAACTGCGTTCTTGACCTGCAGGTTCTCTGCTGTCACTAGTACCCACTGGAGAAGTACCACACAAGTTCCTTACTCCGTCCTGTTAGAGACCAAATTCAAGCAGTGAGGAGACCTGGCATCAGTATAAACCCTTTGTTGTCAACTTGGACATCCACATTACTGGGATAGCCCTATATATCTCACAGATGCTTCATGACAATGCAAACAAATATTTGAGCTGGGAGGGTCTGAATTTCTCTCATTATAATGACAATTGTCAATGAAGTAAATTTTTGCCCATTATTTGTTAATGTAATACATTTTATATGTGTGTTTCTCAGACAGATGTTTACTCAAATGATATAACCCTGTTTATTTCATTTTCTAAAAATCTAACTACTCCACCAAGTATTTTCTAAATCACAGATATAACTTTATAAGCCAGGAATGATTCCCAAACTTGGACTTAATATTTTTAACTACATACTTGGATTTTAAAACTGCAAACCAAAAATTTTTTTCTTGCCTTTCATTTCTTATTCTAGCAGTAATAGTTTGTTAACTTAAAATTGGTTGAAGAGAAATCCAATGTTAAGTTAACGCTTCAAATGCAGGAGGTGTTAAGAAAATCCTAGGCGTGATTTAATTGTATTTGGTCTACCACAGTTCATAATTTCGCTTTCAGTGTCTTTCTAGAGAGGCAGTAGTTCCACACCCTGAAACAATTTAATAATAGAGTGAGTTGTAAGCAGACTCTGCTTAAATTTATTCCAAACTAGCTTGACATTAATCAGAACAAATCCAAACCCTTAGAAATGCATTAACAGCGACCAACAGTGAAGTGTAAAAAAAGGATAGCCTTTAAAAATAGAAACTCAAAAACCTCAGAGCCATACCACACATTTTACAGGTACTTCTTTTTAATATGTCTTTTTACAGGCTCTAAGTGTCTTAAGAGGTTTTAAAAGATCATAAATAACACTTCAGATTCTAACAAAATGCAAGTAGGTATACTTTAAAAGTCTACTCCTGCTTTCCTATTTTTCATGTTTGATATGTCACACAACATAGAAAAAAAAGTGGCAGTAATCCAAAAATTTATTTTGTATTCTTACACACAAAAACTTAAAGCAGTATTTTCATTTATCCATTAATTTAA